ATATTATCGACAGCAACTAGTCTAAAACAATATTAATCCTGTTTTACACATAACCTATAAAAATGTCACCAGCTAAGAATTTGAAATTGAAAAAATACATATTTAGTAACAAATATACCTATCATACATATAAAATATATCATGTACATGTATCATGCGAATCGACATTCAACAACGCAACTTTGCTTCCAACTGGTTTCATGAAGCGCGCACAAGGGCGATATTCAGCGATATTAGGCCATGGTAAGAAATCCCCCACTGCAATACTCAACTGGCACATCCATGACGTCTGTGGGTAAGGATTACTCCGAACTGTACGGAGTGCTCCGAGGAACATTCTCAAGTCAAAAGCTTAATCTCGAGCAACAATTTTCCGAATACTGTTGAGACTTCGAAATTGCTGAGCTCCGAATTCTCTGCGCTGCGTGTATTGTACGGAACAGGAAAATTTCAATGAAAGGCAGAGAAAACATAATTCTTTAAATCGCACCATACGGACGAAACACACGCCTTCCTGTGCCTGGCACTGATATGGAACTGGCTTTAACACGGCCGTTAAGGCTTCCACACACGTTGCGAGCAACAAATTACAAAAAGTGCCGTCTCGGCTGGCGACGATAACCGGTTTATCAGACTGCAGCTCACTGCAAGAAATTCTCTCGCAGCAAAGGATGATGGAGAATCACACGACTGCAGCGCAGTGCCACGCTGAACGTTCCAGAACAGTTTCAATGTAACGATGTGAGAAAACGTGAGCGTTTATCAAGGTTGTAGAAGCAACTAATTTCAAATATACAATAATAGGACTGTGACATTCAGGCATTCAGTGGTAAGTCGGCTAGCCTGACGAAAAATGTGATCACTTGGATGGATAAGTGCGACTCATTTGACTTATCAACAAGTTCTGACCCATGCCAGATTTTAATGAACGGATGTAAACACAACAAATACAAGCCCTGAATCGTCAAGATCGCACCTCGCTGGACATACATTTTGCATAAAACATGCATTTCCATCATAGGTATGTTTTTTATGGACTGAGACATATTTCTATCATGCATGTCCCCAGCCCTCTACCGCTTAGCTGCGCATCAAAACCACGGTTTTGACCGAAGTCCGTCGTTCTGGGCTTAGGCGTGATGAATATCTAATGTATTGAACACAATGCTAATAATGACAAATCAGCAGCTTCTATTTCGATATGAGATTAAATGCAAGCGGATAGTATATGCATCTCATAATGCGATTACTGGAGTAATAAGCGGTCATCCATGTCTGTCTAGCTTTTGATTAGTATATAAGGCGACAATGCATGCCATTAGTGGGTGCACAATGCACATCGCACAGTCCGACAGCCTTTAATAAGCCTATAATCAGCACGTACAAAAACGTTTGATTAAATCCAACAGCGGCCCACTGCTGACCATCCATCCAAAACTCATTCATTCGCTAATGTCTGGCGCGCGCGCTTAGCTGCGCGACCGGTGCCAGGTTTCGGAAGGGCAGTCGGGTCCACACTAGGCTACTAGACCTATTACAGTGCGCCCGCACCGACAATGGAAGGTAGCATGCTATGGAGGGCTGACTCTGAATGGTACGCTGACACCCTCCCGGTGGTGGGCTGAGCAGATAATTAATACTCGTTCATTATATACGAGCATGCAACCAGCCACAGGCGTCCTGATGAGTGAAACGAACGGTGAGGAAGGACGCAAACATTTCATCCCGTAACCGCTTATATCATCGACTGCGGGGAATGGCGTCAACAAGGTGAATGACGGAACTGGAAACGGCACCTGTCTCCAGCCGAAGTATCCAGCCTTCCTTTCAACGTCGAAAGCTTCGGGAGCTTCTCATGAGGCGGCTCTTCGAGTCAGTTAGATGTTGTGCAATGTTTTAGTGAGTCTCAGCGGGGAGCATTTTACGAGCAAAGAGTTATGTGAGGGTGCGTTGATACACAGATCGACGACACACCCACGCAAACGGGGTGATACGGCACCGCGGTGTTGTGACACCGCCAATTCCTACGGACCAAACACTCACCCCGACATTTCTAACCAGTCAGCAGACAGCAGCACTAAATTAACAGTCTCCAGATTAACAGACCGGACTGTTGGCCACTTTATGAAGAGCGCGATATAAAGGTAACGTGGTACATACTTCCGGAGCTGGCTTTGAAGAGCTGGGGTCCACAGCACATGATTTGTGTTATGAACCCTTGTCCACAGCCCGCCATCCACAATTAGTGGCTACTCCGAGTGTCACAACGCTCCTAATCAACACAAAGGCGTAGGCGTAAGTAGCATCCTCACATTGATGCCCATATAGCAAATTACGTGTATGTCCCGGTAGTCATGCTTCCACCCAACCACTTGATGACGAGCGCCTCCAAATAATTCATCAAATTAGACCAAAGTGCCCGTCGGGGAACCTCGAGCACCACCCATATACTGGAGCCGGTCCCATATACCGCAGACATACAGGGTGTCTCAAAAGTTCGTTGACAGGTACCAGCCATGCTTTTTTGTCAATAATTCTGAATCAAACAGTCAAAATTTTGCATGGGCATTGGTAACAACCTTCCTCAAGCAGTTTCATTGTTTTCAAGCGCATTCGACCCTTAATGAGCTCACAAAAAGGGTTTACCTCTGACCATGGATCAGACATGAAAATGGAGAACGCAAAATCGGTTCGGCTGAGAAACTCTCTGCTTCAGGAGTAATGGGAATGGTTAGGTCGGAAATGACACATGGCAAAGTGTCGGCGAGGATGAGTACAACATGATGATCATCTAATAAAAAAGGTGGCTAAATTTTTTGAAGGACGAAACCATGCGAGACTTACAGCGTTTTGAACGACCCTTGTACGGCAGCAGACTCGTGCTCCGGAAAGCAGCTGAAAATGCAGTCCTAACTATTAATATCTTTAAAGCTATTTTTTATTTTGGATAACACGAAAATCGTCAATGCCCAGGACAAGTGACCCTCCAAAAGTGTCAATTAATGTTAAAGTTTTATCTCACGAAGTTTCAAGAGGCAGATCTGGAGCTAATAGCTTTCTTTTACACACAAAATCCGGACAAAACCGCACGATGGACATGTTTTGGCCGTTTACAAAGCAGAACCTCTCCTGAGGAAAACACTCCGGAACCCAGCGAAGGTCTTGGCATGGGGAATGACGAGCGTTTGGGATTTGCAAAATTTGCAAAATGTGTCTAAAAAACAGATGGCCGACACATTTTGCTACGATATGCTGCGAAAAATTTGCCCCTGGCACTTCCCATTTGTTCAGGAATGGGGTTGTTTTGAAAAGGAAATGGTGCTTGGGAGGTCGGCGCCAGTCATTCATGAAGTAGTTAGCGCCAGAGAAGACCTACAAAATACTCACGGATGGTGTCGATGCAAGCTGTCGGCTTTCAGGGAGAAGCGGATGTTGCCAGGAAACTCGTCAAACCTAATGCCGACGCAGAAACTGCAGGGGATTCCCCTACAACAGCTTGAAAGCTGGTAACCTTTTATCAGCCTCCGGCAGCTGACGGAGTGACGAAAATCGGTATGGGCAAATATTTTTGGAGATACAGCAAAGGGTTTGGTTTCCAACCTTCCGAATCAGTTGTCAAAGCATGCATATTTGTCTAGTGTACACACAGACACCAAAACCTTAGATTTTTGGCCGGTTCTTATATGCTTTATTGGCATGGGAAATGTGTCAAGGAACTTTTGAGACACCCTGTAGTCCAGCCTCGAGACTGTTCAGCAGTATCCACATCCAAAGCACAGCGTTCCAACACAGCGGGGAACCGTCTCCACGGAGCGCTCGGTCTAGCGTTGAGCAGTTACCGGCCGCGAGGCGCTCCCATCTGCCGCGGGGCTTCTGATAGTCCCGACGAATCCAGCTCAGTTTCGCTGCCATATTCCTTCCACTCAGCCGTTCAGACCAGCCTGCTCTATTACCGGTCTAACACACAAATTCTACTCTCATAGACGTGATGCAATAACTCGCCATCCAGCTTTTCCGTATCGCTCCTCGTCATGAGATCACATTCCGCACTGCTACTGGTCACTCTAAGCCACGCTTCGTTGGTTCCGGGATTTCATTCAGCTCCGTGAATGATCCGGGGTCTTCGCCAGGCCCTATCGAATCGAGCATGCATAATAGGCATCGCCACCCACAGCCATCGATCCCTCAACCCGCCGGCGCCCACAAACTTTTGCACTAGACAGGAGAGTGGCAGTTGTACCATATTGTGCAGCCTGGTACCGCGCGGGCTTTCACACCCTCAGTGATCGAACATTGTGCAGACTACCCCGGCACAGCAGACAGCGACGACCCATCGGTGGGCGACCAGTGTCCAGCATTCAATGCACGCGATCGACCATAGAATCGACCCTTTGTCGATGCATCTCGTAGCCATGTCCCTGGCGGCTGGGGCCAGTCACTGCGTACCTCCATATAGGCAATGGATGCGTTAGGGAAGCCTAAGTAAATGTGAATAAGCCAGATCAGTATTATCAACTTATAAGGAAATAGGAGTACGCCATCATGATAATGTGATAGGTACTGTTAAGCTTATCTACTTCACTTCGTTGTAGGACGGTAATAGTTTATGGTAATCTACATTCTACACAACACTTCGGTGATCCCAATCACTACTGCTGACGGAAAGGAAATCATTCTTATCCCGTTCACACGCATAAACTTCAGCATCGGCGCTCCCGGGTGGCAGATGCAGCACCAATGCGTTACATGCCGCTTGCGCGCACCACTGTATCTCATTCCACAGTGCACTCTTCGTGTGCACGCTTAAGGTCTTTGTGTGCAATGTGTCTGCATGTACTGCATTTAATATGCCTGATAATTCGTGCCCCTCTCATATCAGCAGGTAGCGGTTCACCAGCTGTACCTTACATCGTACTGCTCTGTCCATTATTGTCACCTCGCTCAGACGTGGACCTCGGTCACCATTCAGACCCCCCCCTCCGTTCCGACCCCCCTCTCACCCGAGAGCTGTGCTCCGCGCTGCAGGACATCGTCAATGTTCTCCATCATAATCCGCTGTACGTCATTCAGCTCTCCGTGGATGTTGTTCAGGTTGCGGCGCGCGCGGCTGTCCATAAACGACTTCTTCGTCTTCTGAATGTAGGTGTCTGGGGACGGAGAAGGGCGAACGTCAAATCAATGAGGGAGAGAGAAGTTGAGGATGAATGACGCGGCGCTTGATAGTCTATTCAAGCGGGAAAGTCTACCCTTCCGAAAAACTAACAACACATGAGTAGGAATCACGGTACGGGATGTCACAAAGCGAGCACAATATTACACAGCAAAAGAGACATCACCAAATGAAGATGACGCACTCAAACATCACCAACGGGAGTATGACGTCACGCCTAGCTTCAGGTTGTTACGGGGATCGCGTGACTGGCTGTCCAGTGCCCGTGAAAAGGTGCCAAGCTGATTGGCGTTTTCACGCACTTAACAGTGCATGTTTCACAAGCAGTTGTCGCTTTAAGGTACACGGTTTGAAATATTCTTGAGAAACATCAGCTGCATGAGTCAATAATTCTAGCGTTTGGTGAGGCAACAGAAGGCAAGCCACAAAACTGCGGTATTGTAGGGTGTCACTAGAATTTGCCATTTCAGACGACTATTCTATGTCATGCATATTTTAACAGATGTCCTCCGTGTTTCAATGACTGCTTTGCTAATCAAAGCTAGGCCTCAGTAAAACAAGGACGAAACTCTAATAGTGCTCCAGTGCAGTAATAATGCAGTGTATTTTCCCATTGAACAGCATATTGCAGCGTGCAACGTGAGCTGCAATGAGGTTTGAACCAAAAATGGCCGGCAGTCGACCACCGTGGTGTCAATTATCACGTGACGGAAACACGTGACACTGTACCGCACAACTCGATTATTAAAAAGTACTAGAATACAGGTTTACGCGATAACTGTACGTTTGGATAGATACTGTTGATGAGGCCATTAGTTGGGTTGTCAAAACTTTTATGTTTATATAAGTAGGGTGGTGTTTGGTAGTTACTTCTCTTAATTGTATAGTAGGTAGCGATGGCTTTTCGAGGAGCACTACGAATCCAAAGGTTTGGACATTGAATTATTAAAAAAAAAAAAACACGCCCGCCCGCCGCCAACCGCAAACGCCGCAAAAATAAAAACGACCGCCTCCAACCGCAAACAACACCGCAAACGTGATGATTCTATACCTAATGATTACAACTGGTCTTAACCATGTCCACAAGTGACAATTCTCGCAGTGTATTTTCCCATTGAACAGCATATTGCAGCGTGCAACGTGAGCTGCAATGAGGTTTGAACCAAAAATGGCCGGCAGTCGACCACCGTGGTGTCAATTATCACGTGACGGAAACACGTGACACTGTACCGCACAACTCGATTATTAAAAAGTATAAGAAACAGCTCAGTACACCACTCAGTTTGCATGTCTTTGTAAGCTGTTCTCTTGTTGACTGCAGATCAACATGTTGATCCCCATGTTGATTGTTCGCTGCGCATTATTGCTCAGTGTAATATTCTATACCTGACTTATCAAGAAGTGCGCCGCAGTAAAGTCATTGCTCACAGACAACAAATGCATGAGCAATACATGGGCGGCACAAATAATTCAGAGAATTCCAATCAAGGAACTTGAAGGAACGCCCAAGGGTTCAGAAGTCGGAAGTCGCGCCACACAGCAGACAGCGGAACATGATTCAACATACTACACTGACACATGGAATAGGAAGGAATCCGCAGATAACCTCACAAAGGTCTGATGAAATTCCGCGAAATATATGTATGTAGTGTGTATGTAGGTACATGATATGACGCTTGCGTATCAAAAATGTTGTCAGTGTGCCAGTGACGGCAAGCTATTTGCCATAAATGACACGAAGACATCAATTCAAGTTGGAAGATACCGGGATGTCAGTTGGGGGATAAGTGATGTCAGTTGGGGATACCGGGGCATCATTTGGGGATAAGGGGATGTCAGTTGGGAAAACCGGGGCGTCAATTAGGGAAACTGGGGCGTCAGTTGGGGATACCGGGGCATCAGTTGGGTATACCGGGGGGTCAGTAGGGGAAACTGGGGCAGCAGATGAAAGGCGACGTAACAGGGTTCAGCTCATAGCACCCTTCTGGTGACTCAAGACACTCGCAACTGCCGCAGCCCTGAGCCCTGAGCGACTCAACTCATTCAACTTCCCTCGACCATTTGGCCGGGTGGATAAATAAAAAGTAACAGCTCGGACGGTTCGAACTGGGTGTACCACACCAGACAACCTTTCACGCCTTGCTTTTCTGAGTCGGCTAACCGAAGTCAACTGGCGCCGGACATCACGCGACAGGTCTGGTAAACAATGCATTGCGGTGTGTCGTCCGGCCGCCCCGCGGGACACAGAAAGCTCGGGTTGTCGCGCCCGCCTACTGAATTGTTCAGGACGAGTCCCGGCCCGCGGAATCCGGAAAGTCAGTGGCGAACTCAAACTGAGAGACAGAGCGCCTCAGTAGCCAGTATGTTGGGAAGTCACCGTTCTAAGCATTGCAAGGAAAAAACACGTTTTTACTTTTTGTGCATAGCGTTTGCTTTTTGTGCGTTTTTTTTTGTGCGTTTATGCTTTTTGTGCTTTTTTATTGAACCTTTTTGTGCAGAATGTTCAAAAACCAGACGTTGGATATGCCGTATTTTTTGCACACTAAATCATAAAAAACAGATGGTTTGTGAAGTACTAACGCATATTCACTCCGGTAATGTTTATAACTCACACATATAGCTCACAAGCTGTGAGAGACCATCACTTCAGTGAAATGTCAGAATCAGGGTACGTCGATCTCTGCGGAGCCCTAAAAAATCAGCTTTGACTTAACGTAAAAAGCTCAAGTATTTTTCAATAATCTTGTTAAGCGTTTGATTCCCGCTCACAAGGTCTTTTTACATACCATAGCGCAGCTTGCTACTTGTCACTGAACAGCCCAGGAGCCATCGTCACGAGGAAGATCGTGCACGCAGTAAGATCAAAGATCAGCTACGGCAGTTCAAATCAAAGCAACGGTATCTGATGTCAGGCCACCCGAGATGAGTTTCTTTGAACGTGTGCCTAGTCGGTCACTCCGCGTTCTACCCCAGTTGGCAGCCCTTGACTTCTAGTTCAATGGAAACATAAGATCAATGGAATTTATCCATCAGCAGCTAACTATAAGAATAAATAAATGTAATATGATAGATGATGGTTTAAGTGTTAAAAAAATCAAAATAAAAGCTAACAATATTTAAAGCTATCTGGATAGTTCTGGCCATTCTCGAAATGAAACCAAGTGATTGACGAATAAGAATCTTCAAAATCATATGCAAAATGCGTGACACCTTTTCGACTTTTCTTTGCTTACACCCTTTTATAAGTGAATAAGTGATGGTTAGACTCTAATTTTGCCCAGTGTTACGCTGGCTATAAAAACGAACACAGAAAAAAAATAAGCCTTTAGGAAACATCATACATTAGAAAAACATCCTCAATAAAAACCAAACAACCTATTCCCGCTTGATCAGGACATATCCAGACGTCAAGAAGCATACCAATGGCGACATTTTCCATCACCAGCACTTAATGGACGGCGTAACCTGACCCGGAGGTCACAGGGGGGTCACCCGACCGCACGATTACCGACCGTGCCCCGGCCCCGGGGGTAGCAGGCGCGCCGCCAGGTCAGGGGTCTCCCAGGGGCCGGCAAGGCGCTGCTACGGGTCTCTCAGGGACGAGGTATGACGTCATTACGCCATGGGACAGTGTAAGTGTGGTAAAGAGGCGACATGGAACAGGAAGCAGGTTTTACCGTGCACTCATACTCCAAAGGTACGTGATTTTACGGTCGGGTCAACTACACAGGAATAGCTTCATGTAGAGGGCAAGATAAGGCGGAAAATAGTTACGTCTGAGATGTATGTGTTTAGAAATGAAACGGTGCGTGAACTCGACGCCGTCTGTCATTTCATGGCTTCGCTCAGATGAAAAATGTGAAATTTGGTCCATCGCTTATTTCTTGACATCACTATAATACACGTCTACATAAAATCATCTGATGTCAACTGCCACTCAAATGGCGCCGTCGGTTTCCTGAGCTCAATCCAATCTATATAAGACACTATTTTGTTGATTCTTGTCAACTACAACTGCTACCTTTTGCGTTGACCTTGACGTGACCTCCACTTTAAACTGCGAACATAATGGTCTTAAATGACTTTAACGATACTTCCACTGAGTTCTACAACCAAAGCTGGCCAGAAAGAAATAGTCACATGCCATTTATGTGGTTTTGAAAATAACTAGGCACCCTTTAACTGACTTTAATCTTCTTAATTACTGTGCTTGACTTCAGCACTTCACTGATACTTTCATCAACCTTTTTCAGTAGGCAAGTCGAAAGCGAGCTCGCTATCTTGCCATGCTCCATCGATATCTCGATATAGCTCGATAGAAAACGAGCTCGAGCACAAAACTGCGTTCCCTAGACTGAATATAAATATGCTCAAGTTTGACTTATGACCTGAACTTGACCGACCATCACGAAACCTCAAATTTCAAATTTCAAGATTGTCTCAGATGCATCACGCCGAGGCCTTCCCAACACGGTCCTGTGCGCCTCACTACGTTGCTCCGTTTCGGAGATAATCAATGGCGCTGGGTCGGAGGCTCAGAGAGGCGCGGGTTAATGCCAACGTTTACCATAATCTACCGGTACCATCATCTGCGTCCATTCCCGAGCTTTGCTGACACATTAGCTCACAGCTAGCCAGCCACGTGAAAATCCCAGTCTCTCTCTAACACACATCGCTCCCGAGGGCAATTTCCGGCACAAACAGCATGTAAAGCGAAGGAGGTCGGCTCACAGCAGCTTTACAAACAGTCCCTGGCCCGATATGCCTTCCTTTCACACAGAGGAGCTCGGCGGGCCGCCCAGCCACCCATCTGGCCACGAGGAGCTCCTTGAATCGACCGAAGCAAGGCTGGGAACGCCTTTCCCCGCTGCAGGTAGTACGGGGACGTTCGGAGGTGGGAAGGCACCAGGAGAAAACGCAGGAAGCACGAGCATCGACCCCCGCCGGGATGGTAATGGATGAAAACGAATGGGGATGGAGGGGCGTGGAA